AGTCCTTGTTTTCTCTGCTCTTTCATGTCCTGATACATTAGTGGGTCACCTTATGAGTGATACATATTTTAAGAAACAGAAGCTTGCTGTTCTGTAAAAGTTACTACTAAGAGAACTAAAGGCATGTTTAGTTGGTCAGGGGTTGAGTGTCCACCCAGGAACCAAGTGGTCCCTGGTTTGATTCCCATCCAGGACACATACCGGTTTTGTGGGCTCCATCCCCATTAGGGGGCACCCAGGAGGCAGCCCAGGGATGCTTTTCTCCCCCATCAATATTTCTATATCTCTCCTGCTCCCTTACTCTCTGTCTGAAAATCAATACAAATATTTTTTAAAAAGAGAGCTAAAGGAAAATTTACAGACTTGATGAAAAGTATCTCCAAATATATACTTGTATCCAGAATATATCCAGGACTCTCAACAAAACAATAAACAACAAATAAACCTGAATGTATAAAAAATGTCACTCAACAACAAAACAACCAAACCTATTTAAAATTAGACGGATGATTTCAATTGATATTTTATCAGGATATATACATGGTCAATAAACACATAAAAATATGCACAAATCACTAATATAGGAAAATACAAATTAAAACCACACAATGAGGTGCCGTCATTATTTCCTAAGATGGCTAATATTAAAAAAACACACAAGCGGTTAAAAGAGGCATCAGAGTATGTGGATGCTGCACGGACATGCTCCCAGGAACAAACCGGAATTGCAACTAAAATACAGAAAAGCTTCCCAAATAATCAATGGAAAACTAGCAGGAGAGAACCCTGGTACCCAGGAACTGAAAGTGGAGACTGTATAGAGCAGGGGTAGGCAAACTTTTTGACTCGAGGGCCACAATGGGTTCTTAAACTGGACCGGAGGACCGGAACAAAAGTATGGATGGAGTGTTTGTGTGAACTAATATACATTCAAAGTAAACATCATTACATAAAAGGGTATGGTCTTTTTTTTTTTCCAGTTTTATTCATTTCAAACGGGCTGGATCCGGCCCGCGGGCCGTAGTTTGCCCATGGCTGGTATAGAGACTGGTAGGAGGGGTGGCAGCGCAAAAGGGCTGGCCAGGCACCCACAGGCAGCAACTGAAGCACAGGAGCAATATCTCATCTGTGGGGTGGTGCCACTGAGAACTCTGGGATCTATTCCCAAGCTGGGTCACCCAGCAGAAAGCACCAAAATTGAAAAGGGTACCCACATAACATCTGGCTTAAAGAGCCAGTGCGCAAAATTCCATGTGGAGCCACCCACCTTGTGCTCCGACAGAGAGAAGGTGAAGTGGACTGGAGCTGTAAGAGCAGAAGCCAGGACTGGGGTCTTGGGGATAGAGCTCAAAAGGCAGGCACCCCAAGTTTCCCAGGCTGAGTCATTCCCTCACACAGTGGAGGACATCTTTCCCACACAGACATTTGCCTTGACTGGGGGGAAGATAGTTGACACAACTTATTGGAAAACAACTTGTCCTGAGGCCACTTAGGAGATTAAAAATAGGAATTAGCCTTCAGAATGAAACAACTGCCCCACCTGTTGAAAAAAACTCTCCCCACACCTGAGGACCATTGCCTGGGGGCAATTCAATTCAGAATCCTATCAGTCTATAGGCAGAAGCACTTTCTGGAGGCTTTTTGAGTGATGTGATTAGTCAGAAAGAACCTTTAACACTGTCCTGTACTAGACATTGCAAGGTGTAGAGGATTTGCCTAATACATAGTCATAACCCCAAACAGACAACCAAAATGAGGAGATAAAGAAACAACCCCCAAATGAAAGAATTAGAGAATTGCCCAGAAGAAGAAATAAAGGAAGCAGAGATAAGAAATTTATCTGAAACAGAGTTCAGAGTAATGATAGTAAAGATGCTCAACAGTGTGAAAAAAGATATAGTGACTATGAAAAAAAAAACCAGTTTGAGATGAGGAATGACATAACACAAATAAAGAACACAATGGGAGGAATACAGAGCAGATTAGGGTAAGCTGAGGATAGAATCAGTAAATTAGAAGACAGAGTTAAAAATATCACTCAATCAGAGAATCAAAAAGAAAAAAACAATTAAAAACAGGAGGACCGCTTGAGGGAGCTGTGGGACAATGTGAAAAGTAGCAATATTAGAATAGTAGGTGTGCCAGAAGAGGCAGAAAAGGAGAAAGGAATAGAGAACGTGTTTGAAGAAATAATGACAGAAAACTTCCCTAGCCTGGTAAAGGAAAAAGTCACCCAAGTACAGGAGGCACAGAGAACCCCAAACAAGAAGAACCAAAATCGACCCACACCCAGATACATCATAATTAAAATGCCAAAAATTAATGACAAAGAGAGAATCTTAAAGGCAGCAAGAGAAAAGAAAACTGTTACCTACAAAGGAGTTGCCATAAGGCCGACACCTGATTTCTCATCAGAAACTCTACAGGGCAGAAGGGAAGAGCATGAAGCACTCAAGGTAATGGAAAGCAAGGATCTGAGACCCAAAGGAAGGGACACTTGAAAACTCTTTATGAGGCCAGCATTATCCTAATCCAAAACCAGATAAAGGAAGAGAATTATAGGCCAATATCCCTGATGAACATAGATGCTAAAATCCTCAACAAAATATTAGCAAATTGCATCCAGCAATATATTAAAAAGATCATACACCATGATCAAGTGGGATTTATTCCAGAGATACAAGGCTGGTACAATATTCACAAATCAATACACGTGATACATTACATAAACAAATTGAAAGACAAAAATCACACGATCTTATCAGTAGACGCAGAGAAAGGATTTAACAAAATCCAACACCCATTTTTAATAAAAACTCTCAGTAAAGTGGGAATAGAGTGAACATATCTCAACATGTTAAAGGCCATATACGACAAACCTACAGCCAACATCATTCTCACTGGGCAAAAACTAAAACCATTTCCCCTAAGAACAGGAACAAGACAGGGATGTCCACTTTCACCACTCCTGTTCGACACAGTGCAGGAAGTGCTAGTCATAGCGATCAGATAAGAAGAAGAAATAAAAGTCATCCAAATTGGAAAAGAAGTAAAACTGTCATTATTCGCAGATGACATGATATCGTACCTGGAAAACCTTAAAAAGTTCATCAAAAAACTACTGGACTTAATACATGAATTTGGCAATGTATCAGGATACAAAATTAACACCCATAAATCTATGGCTTTTTTATACACCAATAATGAACTCACAGAAAGAGAAACTAAAGAAAATCCCATTTACCATTGCAACAACAAAAAAATAAGATATCTAGGAATAAACTTAACTTAGGAGGTAGAAGACCTACACTTGGAAAACTACAGAACATTGAAAAAAGAGATAGATAGAGGAAGACATAAACGAGTGGAAGAATATACCATGTGCATGGATTGGTAGAATCAACATCATTAAAATGTCCATACTACCCAAAGCAATCTATAGATTCAATGCAATCCCCATTAAGATACCAATGGCATATTTCACAGACCTAGAACAAACTCTCCAAAAATTCATCTGGAATAAAAATAGACCCCAAAAAACTAAGGAGCACCGAGCAGAGATGAGCGGTAAGGAGCGAGGGGTCTGGACTGTGAGAGGGATGTCTGCCTGCCAGCTTAGGTAGGGAATGGGCCTAAGCCAGCAGGCAGACATCTCCTGAGGAATCCCGGACTGTGAGAGGGTGCAGGCCGGGTTGAGGGACCCCACACTAGTGTGGGAGTTTTGTGCACAGGGCCTCTGGTATGCATGTAAGATCCTTGGTTAATCTCTTCCCACCACCCACCTCCATTCCCTCTGAAATCCTCAAAATCCCCGAGGGTGGAGGACCCTTAGGGTAGTGTTTCTCGCTCCCTGTGTCCCACTGGGAGCAGAGCCTACCCAGGCAAAGCCCCAGAGGCTGGACCGCCCACCATGCTCTGGAGCAAGGAGGAGCCTGTCCCGTGAGATAACGGTGATGAAGAAAGCCTTCCTGGCTCCCAGACAGCCGCGAGGAAGCACGTAGAGTTTATTCCTTTTGAAATCTGCTCATTCCTCTCTGCACTTTCTTCCCCACCACACCCCACGGTGCAGAGAATCCCAGCCTCGGTTTCCCAGGTGTCTCGCCTGCGGGTCTCCCCTTGATGCCCTCGGTGTGTGTGAACACACAGAATCCTCCCGTGTTACCCGGTGGTGAGTGACACCCCACCCCACCTGGGGTCTCACATCGCAGTTCCCTCCCAGGGAGCTCCAGGTCCCAGAACACTTGTTGTGTCCCCACAGGACAGAGACTCGGGCAGCGTCCAGGGTTGGTGTGTGGCCTTGTGAGTGGAGAGTGGTGTCCACTGCATGGCTGCTGAGATAGGAATGATCACTGGCCTTCCCCGTCTCCCATGTTCCCACCCCTGGCTGGCTGACCTCCACAGACATCTGCAGCCTGTGACTAGGGCATCTGGCCCACTTTTACTTTTGCAGAAAATGATCTCCAAGGGAAAGGGGAAGCAGAAGGTGGGCTGAGGTCCTCCCTGGGTGTGATTTGGGTGTCTCTCTCACCCTCCCTGGCCTCCGGGTTCCCAGGAGTGGATGTGGGCAGGGGATGGGTGATCTTCAAGGGCTGTCTGGGTCCTGATGGTATCAGAGCCTGACCTTTCTCCTCTGCTGAAGGTCACTGTTGTGCTCTCACGCTCACCTTCCTGTGCTGCCTTCTGTAAATCTTGCAACATTTATTCTAGTTTCTCAGAGATCAACCCTGATAAACACAGTTCCCCAGTGGGAACTTGTTACCCTAACCCCAGGCAGGCTGCTGTGGGGCCAAGGTGGGCTGCAAGAGGGCCAGAGGGCGCTCAGGGTGGATAATGAGGGCGGTCACCCGCTCTGTGCAGAGGGGGACGAGCTCAGGCACTGAGGTTCCTCTTCTGTGGACGGGGAGGTCCTGTGCTGCTCCCCAGCTTTCCTGGTCTCTCTGCAGGCCCCGCCCACTGTCTTGCTTCTCTTTTCACCCACAGGAGCCCAGATGCCCTCAGAGATGCTGCGGCTACTGCTGCCCTTGCTGTGGGCAGGTGAGTGCCCGAGGGGAGGGGGCCGGCAGGGCGGGGACTGCGACTGACCCTTGTTTCTCTGCAGGGTCCCTGGCTCAGAAGAAAGGATACACTCTGAAGGTACAGACGCCCATGACAGTGCAGGAGGGCCTGTGTGTCCAGGTGGCCTGCAACGTGTCCTATGCCAAGGATGGGTGGACTGACTCTACACCAGCTCACGGCTACTGGTACAAGGGAGAGTCAGATGCATCTGACAAGGTTTTAGTGGCCACAAACAACCCGAATCATAAAGTGCAGGAGGAGACCCAGGGCCGATTCCACCTCCTGGGGGATCCCAGAACCAACAACTGCTCCCTGGACATCAGAGACGCCCGGAGGACAGATAATGGAATTTACTTTTTTCGGGTGGAGAGAGGAAATTCTGCTATATATTCTTACACAATGTACAAGCTCACCGTGCAAGTGACGGGTAAGGAACAGGCTCCAGGAGAGGCCTTGGGAGAAGTTCACAGTGGCCCCGGGCAGGGCTGGGAAGGGATCCCATCCTGGAAGCGGGTCGGGGTACAGCCTGTTGGGCTGAGAGGCAGGAGCTGGACTAAAGCTGAGGCTTCTCTCAGGGCCGCACCTGGGACCCTCACTCCTGATCCCCTGTCTCCCCCTCATCACCAGCCCTCAACCACACACCCGACATCCTCAACCTGGGGATCCTGGAGAGTGGCCGCCCCAGGAGCCTGACCTGCTCTGTGCCCTGGGCCTGTGAGCGGGGCACGCCCCCCATCTTCTCCTGGACGTCAGCTGCCCACACCTCCCTGGGTCCCAGGACCCGTCTCTCTTCTGTGCTCACCCTCACCCCACGGCCCCAGGATCACGGCACCAACCTCACCTGTCAGGTGCATTTTCCTGCCGTTGGTGTGACCGTGGAGAGAACCATCCAGCTCAACGTCACCTGTGAGTGCTGGGTCAAAATAGCAGGTCCCTGAGGGTGTGCAGAGCAGGAGGGCCAGACAGGTGTGCTGGGTGCTTTGTCCTGGAGGCCTGGCTGTGTAGGGGACCTTGAGGACACAGCCCTGTCCCTCTTGCATTTCTGTTGCCTCTGGGGGTGGGAGGGTGCCACCTACACCTGTCAAGTGACCTTACCTGGGGCCAGGGTGACCATGATGAGGACCATGCACCTCAACCTGTCCTGTGAGAACTGGACCAGGATGTGGGGTTCCCTGATGGGAGGTCCCGAGGGCAGCAGAGATGGTGGATGGGGACCTCAGACATTGGGTGCTAAGTTCTGAACCTGATTTGAGAAGGGGTCAGGGGATGCCTGCTCCCACCCTGTCCCCATTTAAGCAGCTCCTGGGGACCCAATGTCTGCCCAGCCTTCACCACTGACTTTGGTCCACCTTGTCTTTCTGTCCCAGACTCTCCACAGAACTTGACCATAACTGTCTTCCAAGGAAATGGCTCAGGTAGGAGGGAGCCCGTCATGGGCTATAGGGTGGAGGGCCTCCCCCAGGTCAGGGCAGGACAGGGCCGGTCCTTGCCTCATCCTGGACTCACCCCGTGACCAGACACCCCCAGTGGTCTCTCTTCTTCCTCAGTCCCCATGGCTGGTCTCCAAGCCCCCTGCCACCTGCACCAGGAGAAGGAGGCACCCTCCACATGGCTGAGCTGCCACTCGAGGCCCTTGGTCCTCCATCTCCTGACGAGTCCTCCAGGCTCAAGTTTGCATTTTCCTCCAATAGTTTAATTTGTGTATTTCCCAACAGGCAATATAGTCACACTAGAGACCTGGTGCACGAAATTTGTGCACGGGTAGGGTCCCTAGGCCTCCCCACCTCCCTGCCTCCTCCTTCCCTCACTCCCTCAGCACCAGGCCATCTCCGCCACTGGTCACCTGCCATGTTCTGTGCCACCCCCTGGTGGTCAGCGCACGTCATAGCAAGCGATCAAACTCCTGCTCTCCCAGTCGAACTCCTGAGGGGACAATTTGCATATTAGGCATATATATATATAGACTAGAGGAGGCCCGGTGCATGAAATTCGTGCACTGCAGGGGAGGGGGGTCCCTCAGCCTGACCTGCCCCCTCTCACAGTCTAGGAGCCCTCAGGGGATGTCCTACTGATGGCTTAGGCCCGCATCACAGGAGTCACCTGGGGTGACCAGGGGAAGGCAATGCCCCCATCACGCCACTGCTGCTGCCACTGCCAGCCCGTGGTGGCTGTGAGGCCTGAGCCCTGGGCCTCGCAGCCACTGTGGCTTTGTCCAGATGGACGTCTGGATGGACATCTGGAAGATGTCTGCCCTAATTAGCATATTACCCTTTTATTCGTATAGATGGGCAAAAATGGAAAGGCACTGAAGTCTGTCCTCAGAATCCTGGTCACCTCCCTAGAAGTGTGAGGCTTGGGTTTGTTCACTTGAAGAATCTCACAGGTCCTTTGCCATCCATAGGACAGACGTCCCCATCCTCTCCGTGCCTGTGCAGTATTCCACAGCATGGCTGGATTCCGGTTGTGTGCACATCTTTTTTTTAAAAAAATATATTTTTATTGATTTCAGAGAGGAAGGGAGAGGGAGAGAGATAGAAACATCAGTGATGAGAGAGAATCATTGATCGGCTGCCTCCTGCATGCCCCCTCGACTGGGGACTGAGCCCCAACCCGGGCATGTGCCCTTGGCCAGAATTGAACCTGGGACCCTTCCGTCCATAGGCCGACGCTCTACCCACTGAGCCAAACCGTGATGAGAGAGAATCATTGATTGGCTGCCTCCTGCACGCCCCCTTGACTGGGGACTGAGCCCCAACCCGGGCATGTGCCCTTGGCCAGAATTGAACCTGGAACCCTTCTGTCCATAGGCCGACACTCTACCCACTGAGCCAAACCAGCTCAGGCTGCGTGCACATCTTCTAGTAACGGAGACCCAGGGCTTTCATCTTACTCTGCTAACCTCAACACTGCAACGAATAATCTGCCTCCACTTTCACAACCCTGTGTGGGTGTCTGCGGGGTCAGTTCCTAAAAGCAACACATAGCTACTAGTACTTCACACGTTCTTTGCAAGTTTGATGGAAGTGGTCAGGTTGTTCTGCACGGAAGGCAGACAAGCCTGCGGTCCCACCAGCCGGAGGCTGTGTGTCCGTTCCTCTCCTCCCACATCCTTCCGCTTCCTCTCCACCTCACAGTCACTCTGACCCTCTGTCTCTTCTTCTCCAGCACCCAGGGAAGTGGTCAGGTTGTTCTGCAGGGAAGGCAGACAAGCCTGCGGTCCCACCAGCTGGAGGCTGTGTGTACGTTCCTCTCCTCCGCTCACCTCCTGCATCCTTCCGCTTCCTCTCCACCTCGCGGTCACTCTGACCCTCTGTCTCTTCTTCTCCAGCACCCACAGTCCCGGAGAACGGCTCGTCTCTTTTGGTCCCGGAGGGCCAGTCCCTGCGCCTGGTCTGTGTGGGCAACAGCAACCCCCCTGCCAGGCTGAGCTGGGCCAAGGGGAACCTGAACCTGAGCTCCTCCAGGCCTGGGGTCCTGGAGCTGCCTCCAGTGCAGGCCGGGGATGAAGGGGAGCTCACGTGCTGGGCCCACAACTCTCGGGGCTCTCTGCACTCCTCCCTGAGCCTCTCTGTACAGAGTGAGTGCCCCAGTGGATGGGGGGAGGGCGCTGCAGGAAACCAGCACCCGCTCCACCCTCACAGTCCACCCTGCAGCCCCCTGACCTTCAGAGAGGAGGTCAGCTCTGCTCTGGGCTCAGCTGTGAAAGCCCGAAATGTCCCTGGGATTGAAAGTGCCCCTGCCCTCTTCCTGCCTGGCCAGTGCTGTGGGGTGGGGTGGGGCGGGGCCGGGAGAGAGAAGCCAGGGGCAGGAGGTGGGTCTTGGGAGAGGGGTTGGGCCTGGACAGGGGTGTCCCTGGACGCATGGTCCTTGCTTTTCGGGGGCCGGAGGAGGGTCAGGCAAGCGAGGCACTCCTCTTGGGCACAACCTCTAAAGAAACCTCAGCAACGAAGAGGAACCTGACCACAGTGCAGTGTTTCTTGTCAATAATGCTGAATGCAAAGTGAACCCCACAATGAGCAAAATCTCCACGCGCCCCCATACAGACAGGCTGCCACCCAGCTCTGGGCGCCTCACTCGCCTCACCCTGATCTCCACCCCCTGCCCTGTTCCTGTACTTTGCACCCTGCAAAGGGGCCAGAAAACACACGTCTGGGGTCCCTGCAGGGCGTGGGAGGAGGAAAGACTGAGTTCTCAGCGGGGAATCCCCCCCGCACCCCATAATCCCATCTGTCTGCAGGGAGAGCCGGGGCATCATCATCATCATCATGCTCATCATCGGGAGTGATGCTGGGGGCAGTCGGGGGTGCAGGTGCGACCACCCTGCTCTTCCTGGTCTTCTGTGCCGTCTTTATCATGTGAGCACTGACCTGGGGAGAGAGTGAGGGAGGGAGGGAGGGAGGGAGAGCCCTGGGCTGGGAGGGCAGGAGCCGTGGAATCCCTGAACCCAGAGCTGGAGGGACTCAGGGGGGAAGGGGGTGCAGAGCCTGAAGCCCGGGCAGGAAGTGGGTCCCTGGCACCTTGGGTGGGTGCCACAAACCTCTGGCTCCAGGAGCGGGGAGCTGCATTCTCAACCCTGGGCCCACCTCAGTCACCCCTCCAGCCCCTTAAGAGAGAACAGAGGAGGGCCGGTCTGCCCACCGCACCCTGGACGGGCGGACTGAAGGGCAATCTGGTCTCTCCACGCAGAGTGAGGTCCTGCAGGAGGAAAACGGCAGGGGCAGCAGCGGGCACGGGGGACACGGGCACGGAGGGTGCAAACGCCGCCCAGAGGCCAACCCCTCAGGTGAGTGACCTGGGCATCTCGCGATTGGCAGCCCCGTGGACACCTCCCCCAGGAAGGCCCCCTGGGTTGCCCTGCTCAGCATGGCCAAGTTGCTCTCCTCATCTCCTCCTCCCTCTAGACTCCCCATCTTGCTCACAGCACGACAGCCTCCTCCTCTTTTATTTAAGCCAAGAATGGACTTACCTTCTCCCTGTCCTCTCTTTCTTCTCCTGCTGCCCCTAAATCCACCATGTCTCGTCTATTTTTCCTCCTAGAACAGCCAGCATTGGTCCCCCTCTCTCTCCATCTTAGTTTGTTTGTTTTGTTAATCCTCACCCGAGGATATTTTTCTCATTGATCTTTAGAGAGAGTGGAAGGGAAGGGGAGAGACACAGAGAGAGAAACATCAATGTGAGAGAGACACATCTATTGGTGGCCTCCCGCACCTGCAACCAAGACACGTGCCCTTGACCAGAATCGAAATCTCTAGGTTGAGAACCACTGCCCTACACAGAGGGATTGTCCGAGGGCCTCCGGACGTCTGCTTGCCCTCATTGCCTGGATCCGAGGCCGGCAAACGTTTTCTATAAAGGGCCAGAGAGCAAATCTTTTTGGCTTTGTGGGCCATACAGTCTCTGTGGCAGCCACTCGGCACCGCCATACACCATCTAGAAATGAATGAGTAGGGCTGTGTTCCAATAAAACTTTATTTACAAAAACTGGCAGCGGGTGGGATTTGACCCAAGGACTGTAGTTTGGCGACCCCTGACCTAGAGAATAAAGCCCAAACTCCTCAGTCTGCAGCTCTGCCGATTCTGGCCTCTCCACACCCACCTCTCCAGAATGGCCATGGTTAGGGTTAGGGTTAGGGTTAGGGTTAGGGTTGGGGTTAGGGTTGTGGTTAGGATTAGGATTAGGGTGAGGTGAGTGAGGCATTCACCTAGAACAGTGGTCGGCAAACTGCGGCTCACGAGCCACATGCGGCTCTTTGGCCCCTTGAGTGTGGCTCTTCCACAAAATACCACGTGCGGGCGAGCACGTACAGTGCAATTGAAACTTCGTGGCCCATGCACAGAAGTCGGTATTTTGTGGAAGAGCCACACTCAAGGGGCCAAAGAGCCGCATGTGGCTCACGAGCCGCAGTTTGCCAACCACCGACCTAGACACAAAGCTCAAGAGGAAGCCAAAAATCTCAAGAAACAAGACAAATAATGTATTTTAAAAAATGTTTTTATTGATTTTTTAGAGAGAGAGAGGAAGGGAGGGGGAGAGAGAGATAGAAACATCAATGATGAGAGAGAATCATTGATCGGCTGCCTCCTGCACGCCCCACACTGGGGATCGGAGTCCGCAACCCGGGCACGTGCCCTGGCATAAGAACTGAACCGTGACCTCCTGGCTCATAGGTCGACGCTCAACCACTGAGCCACCTCCGGCCGGGCGGAAGTCAATTTTTAAAACATTCTTTCTGTGTTTGCTTGCAGTGAGCTAAGAAAACAAAATTATAATGAGTTTTGGTTGGGTATATAAATAAAATGTTGAAACTTAAAGTTTCATGTTTTCAGTAATATTTTAGTTACTTTCAAGATATGGAAGAAACTGGACATTAAAAATATGTAGAAACATATGAATAGAGGCACACACATTCTTCCTTCCGCCTCAATCTCCCGTCGGCTCAGAGCGCACTCTTACTAATCTTGGGTTTATTTAAATGCTTTGGTATTTTGGTCTCCATGGATTTATTGCATTCATTTTGATTTAAACATTAAAATATCATTTCTCTCTATTATGAGGCTTTTTGGCACTGCGTTTTTAATTGGCATTAACTTGCCCTAACTGGGTTGGCTCAGTGGATAGAGCATCGGCCTGTGGACTGAAAGGTCCCAGGTTCGATTCCGGACAAGGGCATGTACCTTGGTTGCGGGCACATCCCCAGTAGGGGGTGTGCAGGAGGCAGCTGATCGATGTTTCTCTCTCATCGATGTTTCTCTCTATCCCTCTCCTTTCCTCTCTGTAAAATATCAATAAAATATATTTCAAAAAATAATTGGCATTAACTTTAATCCCAGCTTTATTCTCCTGCCCGATTTCCTGCCAATTCTTCCCCCTCCCCCCACCCCATCTTTTTATGCTACAAATGCTCACTCCATCCACACTGGACTTTCCATTGTTAGCAACCAGAGCAAGGTCATTGCTGCCTCTGGGTGTTTGCATGGGCCGTTCCTCCCCTCTCAAATGCTCTTCCCTCCTATTCCCACCTCTTCATTCCTGCTCAGCCTTTCCGCTCTAGTGTAAGCATCACACTTACCATTCGATTATCGCATTCAGGGTGTGACTGGAAACATTGGAAGGGTTTGGAGCAGCAGAGTAAAAAAACATCCTTTCATTCCTTAACCCGTTTGGGAAATATTATTGAGCACCAACCAAGAGTCAAGGTTCTAGGGGCCCATCTATGAAAAAAAATTATTAGCCCTGGCTGGTTTGGCTCAGTGGATAGAGCATCAGCCTGCAGAGTGAAGGGTCCCAGGTTTGATTCTGGTCAAGGGCACATGCCCGGGTTGTGGGCTCGATCCCCAGTAGGGGGCGTGCAGGAGGCAGCCCATCAATGATTCTCTCTCATCATTGATGTTTCTATCTCTTTCTCCCTCTCCCTTCCTCTCTGA